CTCGAAAGCCAGTCGAATCCGACTCTAGGGTTGCGGTGCTCATCTCCGTTTCAAAGCCGAAGAGCCAGCGCTGTCCGAAGACGTTTCCGTGGTCATGTGGCTGGCATGACTAAACACCAAGGCGCACGGAACGCTGTTCCCTTCCCACCGAAGTGGTACCTATTTATCTACTTGCAATTTCTTGCTTTCGAACTGCTAGGTTGGCAGGAGTATACAGAGGTACAATAGGATAAATAAACCTTTGCCTAAGTGATTCGTGCCATGAACATCACTCTTTGGGTGAAGAAGGACTTCCTTTTATCTGTTCTGACCCGACTGTTTGGCAATTTTATTGAGTGCCCACAAGTTCCTGTATTGTGAGAAAGGGAGAAAAGTACCTCTTTCTCTGCCTGCTCTATCCCATGAATCTTATAAACCTCGATCATGTCACCCCTCGGCCGTCGTTTCTCCAAGCTAAAGAGCCCCAAGCGCTTTAACCTTTCTTCATAGGGAATGTGTTCCAACCCTTTTATCATTCGAGTTGCCCTTTTCTGCACTTTTTCCAATGCTATAATATCCGTTTTGAGGTGTGGTGACCAGAACTGTACACAGTATTCCAAATGAGTCCATGTGTTTGCTTCAGTGTTGGTGTAAAAGGAAGTTTCTGTGCTTTGAGTGAACGCCTGTAGTGTGCCAGATACAAGTAATCTAGTGTGTTGGGGGAGACAGGGATTACAATGGTTAAAGTGGCAAGATCCAATCCGTGGATGCTCTTCGCTAGCCAGCTGAGGTTGCAGCTCTGTCAGAGAATTTGAACCCGTGTCCCCCGAGCAGGAAGTAAGGCCGTGGCTCGTTTCACAATGATTCTGGGTAGGAAACTGTATGCTAAGAAATGTGGTTTCTCAGGCCACCCAGTGTGTTTATTTTGATGAAGGAAAATTGCCAAATCAGGGAGAGAGGGACTCATCTCGTGGAAAGGTTTCTCACAAAAGGTAGTTTCCAATCAGTGATTCCTGGAGTGTAAATGAGGCCAAAAATACACGAACATCTCCTCTGTTATATATCTTGGGAATAAGCTCTCTTTGGTGCCTGAAGAACTATCTCCCCATCCCATCTGTGACTTGGGAGGTTTTTGGGATAGCCTGTCCAGTGTTTTGATAGAGAGCCTTCCGTGGTGGCATGCAAACTGGCTCGCTTATTTGAGAGATCTGGATTTGTTGGTTCTGCTAGCGTCGAATTTATCCTGCCTGTAGCTCACTGGTATCTGATTTGTGAGCCTTGTGATATAAATCGCTGGTCCCGCGTAACATCCAGATCACAAGATGTTATAGTCCCATTGTACACTGCATTGGTCAGGCCGCACCTGGGGTATTGCGTGCAGTTCTGGAGGCCTCACTTCAAAAAGGATGTGGGCAGAATGGAGCGGGTACAGAGGAGAGCGATGAGGATGATCGGGGGCCTGGAGACCAAGCCCTGTGAGGAAAGGCTGAGGGACTTGGGAATGTTCAGTCTGGAGAAGGGGAGGTTGGGGGGGGGGACAGGATGGCTCTCTTGAAGTATTTGAAGGGAGGAGAGCAAGGAGCTGTTCCTTTTGGCAGCAGAGTACAGGACCCGCAAGAATGGATTTAAATTAAGGGCAGGAAGGTGCTGGCTGGATATTAGAAAAAACTTTTTACAGAAAGAGTCGTGCAACAGTGGAATCAGCTGCCTCGGGAGGTGGCGGGCTCCCCCTCCCTGGCAGTCTTTAAGCAGCGGCTGGACAAACCCTTGTCAGGGATGCTCTAGGCTGATCCTTCATCGAGCAGGGGGTTGGGCTAGATGGCCCGTATGGCCCCTTCCAACTCTGCGATTCCATGATTCTATTAATGGTGTTTTGGTCATACCCAAGTACTGTGGCTAGGTGATGACGAAGAGGGGCCGTGGTTCAGTGACAGAGCGTTTGCTTGGCATGCAGAAGGTCCCAGGTTCAATCCCCGGCATCTCCAGTTAAAAGGAGCAGGTAGATAGCAGGTGATGTGAAAGACCTCTGCCTGAGACCCTGGAAAGCCGCTGCCAGTCTGAGTAGACAGTCCTGACCTCAAGAGACCAAAGGTCTGACTCGGCCTAAGGCAGCGTCACGCGTGGCACATCGAGGAACCTGCTTCTTCCTAGGAGCATAAATGGGCTAAGATCACCGTTGGGAAAACCACCCATCCCAAATGTTTATGATGTATCCTTATCGAGATAACTCGGTAAGTGTGCAAAGCGAGTGTGCAGGAGGAGCCGAATAGCGAAAACACTGCACGAACGTTCGAACAGGGAAGCAGGATTCTACTCCTGTTAAAGGCACATTATCAAATGCTAAAATAAACTCAAAGGCCTGGGTGAAAGGGGGCGAGTTTTTTCTTTTAACCCCGCCCGAAGCAAACCACAACCCACGGTCGTACCTTTTATTAGGACCGTCTACAATGACACAAAACAGCAAGCAAGCTTTTGGGTGCCCAGGCTGGGACCGATTTCACACAAGAGCTCCACCGCAGTCGCGCCTCCCTTTGCCCCGCTTCTATTGATCAATTTCCCACTTGAAGCCGTGCGGCCGCATTTTGACCCGCGGCTTTGCCCAATTTTCTCCGTGGTTTCATGATCCTGTTTTTTGAGGATCACGAAACCACGGGGAAATTTGGGCGAAGCTGCGGGTCAAAATGCGGCCGCGCGGCTTCGAGCGGGAAATTGACCAATAGAAGCAGGGCAAAGGGAGGCGCGACCGCGGCGTAGCTCTTGTGTGAAATCGGTCTGGGTGTTACAGAAGTAAAGAAAAGACAGGCTCCAACTCCAATCTGGGTGCTGGGACCCTTGGTGAAGCCGAGGAAGAGCAGAGACCCCCAGGTGGGCGCTCTGGGCTGCCCTGAAAGAACTCAGAGTGTGAATGCATTTTAATTTTTTTATTCTATGAAACGTTTCTGCGTGTGCAGGTTG